CACAAAGGAAATCACATTCCCTAGCCATAAATTGGACGACATTTAACTCAACAACAATAACCTCGTAAGTAGGCAGTAACACAAATGAATGAATTCAACAAACTGATTGCTACATAGGATGACAAAACAAAAGATTTCAAAAACTTATAAGTTATGGCTAATGCTGCAAAACATTGACTTTTAATTGTATTCAGACTCATACATTTTTTGGCATCTTCAACATTATGAGGATCCACCCAAAGAAAATATAGTATTTGAGTTCTCACAATACTCGAGTAATGTATTAGTAGATCTCTTGAAACCTTTGATCTAAACTCTTTCTAAAATATTCTAATGAGTAAGAAATAATGTACATTTTGTTGGGGTTTAGCAAGTGTGAATGGGAAAAGAAAAGAGAGAATATGAAAAGTGAGGGAACTATTTTGGAGGGAAAATGAAAAGTCATTTGCAAAGTGCGAATGAAAAGTTATTTCTCTCATATCGGCAAAAGAAAGGGAAATTATTGTCCTTATATAATGAAACACTTACATTACTTCTTAAAGATCTAAGAAGAATATGACCCTCGCACCGTCGTCGTCGTCGCTCGCTCGGCTTCGCCTTCGGCTTCAGATTTGGCAAATGATGTGATTGATAAATTTTTTGGACAAAATTCATTTAATCAGTTTTTGTTAAATCAAATAAATCCTGTTAATATTATCTCTTATAAATTTGCGGATAACAGTAACATTCCGAAAAGTTGTTACCCTTTTCGAAAAGTCGTTACATTCCGAAAAGTTGTTACTTTCCAAAAAGTCGTTATTTTCCTAACAGACACATTTTTCCAAAAAGTTGTTATTTTTTCCAAAAGACACAACTTTCTGGAATAAACGGGTCTGAACAGATTTCTCTGAGCAAACACGTTTCTTGATGAAAATGGCTATAAAAGGAAGTCAATTTTTGATTTTTCAAACAATGAAAATTTCCTTCTCTGCATTTATTTTTCTCTCAAATAAAATCAAGTGTCGATCGACTGAGTCTGTGTGACTTGTTGCTATTATGAAGTTCACTGAAGTTAAAGAAATTTGAGGTACCGCTATTTCTTTAACAGGTTTAATCCGTTTTATCTTGGGTACAGTGAGGGAATTAAATTTCTTAAGGACACAGTAGTTTCTGTGGACTCGGATTACTTCTTGTATTTTATGTATTTTCTGCTTCATCTTATTTCTGTTTCTGTTTATTGGTTAACCTTACAAATACAGGTTAATTTAACAATCTTAAGAAACTTAGCAAAGTTTTTGTATTTGAGGTTTCTGGAGATTAAAACCTTTATGGTTTTCTACTCTGCTTGAATTTTTAAAATTCATTCGATTAACGATTAAAAGAACATAAAAAACTTAATCGTTAACTCAGAAACACTTTGTGTAAAGATTTGTTCTTTGCTGTTAGTATTTCAAGTACTTAACTTATCTGTCATTTGTGACAGAAAAAAAAGACTAATTCAAGTCAAACAAATGCTGGAACAGTAAGTGCTGCAACTACATCGGTTGCACATAATCGTTCAAATGCTGCCTTAGCGCCGACTGAGAAATCTGCAATGTTTTCTGGAGTCGACTTTAAGAGATGACAGAAAAAGATGTTCTTCTATCTCACTACTTTGAGTCTACAGAAGTTAATTAATGAGAATGTTCCTGTTATGTCAGATGAAACTCGGGCTGATGAACGATTCTTGGTAACAGAAGCATGGACACACTCAGATTTTTTGTGTAAAAATTATATTTTGAGTGGTCTGCAAGATGATCTGTACAATGTGTACAACAATACCAAAACCTCAAAAGAAATCTGGGATGCTTTAGAAAAGAAGTACAAAACAGAAGATGCCGGAAAGAAAAAAATCATTGTGGCAAAATTTCTGGTTTTAAGATGATAGACAGTAAGACTGTTGTCACCCAAGTTCAAGAATTGCAGGTCATAATCCACGGTCTCCTTGCTGAAGGTATAAATTTATTTAATGCCTATGTTAGAAATATTAAGTTTTCCCTTAATACTCACATAATCTTTAATGTAGGATTGATTGTGAATGATGTTTTTCAAGTGACTGCAATTATTGAAAAGTTACCTCCATAATGGAAGGACTTCAAAAATTACTTGAAACACAAACGCAAGGAGATGACTGTTGAAGATCTCATAGTAAGGTTGAGAATCGAAGAGGATAATAAGGCTGCAGTTAAGAGGTCACGTGGTAATTCAGCAATATCTAGAGTAAATTTTGTTGAAGAAGATCCCAGAAAATTAAAGAAAAGAAAGAAAACATCTGGTCCAAAAAGCAATCCTTTTAAGAAGAAATTCAATGGAAACTGCTTTAACTGTGGTAAACATGATCATAGGGCTAATGAATGCCGAGGTCCAAAGAAGGACAAGAAAAAGAAGGATCAAGCAAATTTGGATGAATCCAAAGGAGAAATATCTCTGTGCAATGCTTTCAGAATGTAACTTGGTTGGAAATCCAAGAGAATGGTGGATAGATTTTGATGCCTCATGCCATGTTTGTGCCAACAAAGAATTATTTTCATCATATACTCCAGCACTTACAGATGAAAATTTTTTTATGGCAAACTCCGCTGTTGCAAAGGTGGAAGGAACTGGCAAAGTCCTATTAAAGATGACATCAGGCAAGGTGGTGACTTTGAATAGGGTCTCATATGTTCCAGAATTGAGAAAGAATTTAGTTTCAATTCCAGTTCTGACCAAGAATGGATTTAAATGTGTATTTGTTTCTGATAGAGTAGTAGTAAGCAAAAATGATATGTATGTTGGAAAAGACTACCTTAGAGATGACCTTTTCAAACTCAATGTAATTGTAGTTGATATGAATAAAGATTTTGCTTCTTCTTACTTGCTTGAGTCTAAATGTTTATGGCATGAACGATTGGGACACGTTAATAACAAAACCTTGCTAAAACTGATTAACTTAAATATTTTGTCAAAATTTGAGTGCAATAAATAAAAAGTCAAATTTGTGTTGAATCTAAGTATGCTAAGCATTCTTATAAATCTGTTGAAAGGAATTCAAATCCTTTAGAATTGATTCACACTGATATTTGTGACAAGAAGTCAACACCATCATGTGGTGGGAAAAAGTATTTCATAACTTTTATTGATGATTGGACTAGATATTGGTATGTATATTTACTAAATGACAAGGATGAAACAATAGATGCATTTAGGCAATATAAAACTGAAGTTGAAAATCAGTTAGATAAAAAGACAAAATGATCACAAGTGACAGAGGTGGAGAATATGAATCTCCATTTGCAGAAATATGTTTAGAAAATGGAATAATCCATCAAACTACTGCTCCCTACACTCCTCAGTCTAATGGAATTGCAGAAAGGAAAAACAAAACTTTAAAAGAAATGATGACTGCATTACTTATAAGTTCGGGTCTACCACAATACATGTGGGGGGAAGCTATCCTTACAGCAAATCAAATACTTAAAGAGTGCCTCACTCAAAGACAAATGTGATTCCATATGAGAAATGGAAAGGTAGAAAACCCAATCTCAAATATTTCAATGTGTGGGGGTGTCTATCCAAAGTCCAAGTTCCTATACCTAAGAGGGTAAAAATAGGGCCTAAGACTGTGGATTGTGTATTCATTGGATATGCCACAAACAGTAGGGCATGTCAATTTTTGGTTCATAAGTCCGAACATTCGGATATTCATGATAATACAGTAATGGAATCAGATAGTGCTGAATTTTTTGAACATATCTATTCGTATAAAACTAGAGTTAAGTCATCCAGTGGGGGATCTAAACAACCCAGAGAAGAACCAAAAGAGAATGAACATAATGAAGAAAGTCCAAGACGCAGTAAACGTCAAAAGACATCTACTTCATTTGGATCAGATTTTGTAACATTTCTTCTTGAAAGTGAGCCTCAAACATTCAAGGAAGCAATGTTGTCTAGCGACTCAACCTCTTGGAAGGAGACTGTTAATAGTGAAATAGAATCAATCTTAAGCAATCATACTTGGGAGTTGATTGATCTTCCGCCAGGGAACAAACCCTTAGGTTCAAAATGGATCTTTAAAAGGAAGATGAAAGATGGTGGAACTATTGAAAAATATAAAGCAAGACTTGTTGTCAAAGGTTTAGACAAAAAGAAGGTCTTGATTATTTTGACACATACTCGCCTGTGACTAGGATTACATCAATTCGGATGTTAATTGCACTAGCTGCACTATACGGTCTTGAAATTCATCAAATGGATGTGAAAACAGTTCTTAAATGGAGAGCTTGAATAAAAAATTTACATAGAACAGCCTGAGGGTTTTGTAGTTCCTGGTAAAGAAAATAAAGTGTGCAAACTTAATAAGTCACTTTATGGACTAAGACAAGCACCAAAACAATGACATGCAAAGTTTGATCAAACCATGTTGTCAAATTGATTTGAGATCAATGAATGTGATAAATGTGTTTACATTAAAGATAATACAAATCAGGAAGTTATTTTGTGCCTATATGTAGATGGCATGCTTATAATGATCAAATACATTGTTAATATAAAAACTACAAAGCGTATGCTCGCTAGTAAGTTAGATATGAAATATTTAGGAGTTGCTGATGTGATATTAGGAATTAAAATTCTTAAAACTCTTAACGGTCTAGCATTGTCTCAAACTCATTATATTCAAAAGATACTTGAAAAATTCAAATTTTTGAATTTTAAAAGGACAAAGACTCCAATCGATGTAAACTTTCATGTTGCAAATAATAAAGGTGAAAGTCAGTCTCAATTGGACTATGCTAGCGAATTGGGTAGCTTAATGTATGTCATGAATTGTACACGACCAGACATAGCTTGCACTATCAGTAAACTTAATCGATACACAAGCAATCCTAATCAAAGTCATTGGTTGGCAATGAAGAGAGTATTGGGATACTTAGATGACACTCAAAACTATGCTTTACATTACAACAAATATCCAACCATTCTTGAAGGATATAGTGATGCAAATTGGATTACTGGGTCAACTGAAACAAAATCCACAAGTAGATACATTTTTACTATTGGTGGAGGAGCAATATCTTGAAAATCATCGTGTAAGGTTTCGATAAATATAGAAGCAACACAATAAAACAATAGTAAAGTTTCAAGTAAAATAATTTTCCACAGTCAACAAGTTTACATCAAAGTAAACCTATAGGCCATGACAACATGACAGATCCACTTAACATCAGTAAGCTTGAAGCAAATAAAACTGAAGAGGAGCATTGCTTGTACTGCTGAGAAGTTTTAAATCAATCACTTTAGGCCAGCAGCCAGGTAGATGATCTTAGAATGACCTCGAGTTAGTATTTTAGCCACTTTGGGATCTAGAGAACCCATAGTGCGCGACTACAATTGAACATTGTAAGGAACTAAAGCCAGCATAAAATTATCTTGTATGACATGTTCACTGTAAATCCAGCTTTATAGCATTCTCAGTTGATCGATGAGCTTAATTCAATGGAAAATGCTACAGATCTCCAAACAAAAGCACTTACACCGTAAATCCATTAATGTCACTTGCCATAAGCATCACCACATTATATACATAGTAATTTAATGAACCTCTATATTATCTTTCCTCCGAAGAAAAGAGAGCACCAAGAAAAACCCATAAGACTATCGAGAATTTTACTGAACGTTGTATATAGATCCCAATATCTTTTGCACACCAGATGCAGGAGTCAAGAACTTTATCAAGCTGAAATAAAAATAAAAGGTAAATCATAAGTACGTAGACCTTCATATATTACACAATGCACAACTTGCAAGTATTTCTTATGTCTTAAAACTCATAGCTTGGACCAGAAAATCATGTTAAAGTTTTCTGGAAAATCGTATGAAAACAAACAGAAGAACAATCCACTCTTTTAATAACTATTGATTTATTATTAAACGTCTAGATAATAAGCAGCAATGACCATGTCCATAACTACCTTGGGACACTCCATCCTTAATTTAAGGAGCATGTGGTAGATCCAAAAGATTGTCCAAAAGTAGTCCACGTTCACAGGAAGTTCCATGACTATCGTCTATTCAGTTTCAGTGAAAATGGGTGTAAGGCAAAATAATATAAACAACTGAAAATCTAATGGTAGTGATTCCAAACCTCTGCAAGATTTTGAAATTCAAAAGGTCGTTGTAAAAAAGAAAGGGTAGTTGGAGGTGACAAATCCATATCATTCTTTCTTGTTCAAAGCAGAGTAGTGCTTTGATCTTTACATTCAGTAATCTTGTTGATGGCATTGTCTCACACTTCCCGACAATGGAATACTCCATCCTAATTCCGTTAAACAAACATCAAAGTTAGTGGTAGCTATTTCATGCCCTCTGCAAAATGAAAATGGAAGGAGAAATATAAAATCACCCTGATTTATTGTGCAAAACACATATTTCATTAAATAGTCAATTAAATTGAATTGTACAGTAAAAAGTGATCGCAAAGATAAAAATAAAAATCAGCCGGGTATATTCCATATTATTGTTGTAAAACAATGACTACAATGACTACATATTGTTGTTTTTCTTTTTGGTTGACCAAGAAAAAGCCAAAAAGAATATCCATAAGAAAATAATATTCTAATATCTTGCACGGCTAATGGAAGATCAAAATTGACAACATAGTAGCATACATATTGACCAGTAGAACCAAAACCACCAAGATAAATATAAATTGGTATGCTCCCATATATGCCTTTAGTCGTGATACAAATAATCATGTTGCAGCCCGAAAAGAAAAATGGCAATTGGAAACTTTAAATAAGTTAATGGAGACATATTATCAAAAAACTTAGATACACAATCCACTTGATATCTTAGATTTTTGTAAAATGGTCCAACTTTTGCACTAATTAATGGCTATAAAAATTAAATTTATCAAAGAAACATCATGCATGTGTAAATTAAACGGTTAGTAAGGTGCATGTAGAAATCTTAGGTAGATAGTATATCAAAAGATTAGAAAACTAAGGTACACATTTAAAATTATGTTTACTTTTAATGTCCGAATCAAAAAGAGCCGAAGAGACCCAACAAGAAGAAACTCAAAAGAATTAATCAGAGCAAACATCATAGTGAGCAAAAGGTGAGTATTTTAGCTTTGTGAAAGTATTTGGAAAGATAACCAAATAAATTTAAGATTTATACCAACTCAACTCCTCTTTCCATGATAGTGCTTGTCAATGTATCCCTTGCCACTGCAGAATTTTGGACCATATGTTCTTGGCATAGTCACAACAGAAGAACAAATAAATTTAAGATTTATACCAATGATGAATGAGAGAAAATTGAAGTGGGGAATTGGACATAGTATCATAACAACAAGAAGTATAAAATTGAACTATGCATAAATTTCATTGAAAAAACTGGAAGCAACAAAAACTGTAACCAATCTTCTTCACCCCATCAAAGGGGAAAAAGAGAGATAAGGATTGAGAAGCAATAAAGAAGATTTTGTAAATTAAAGTGTATTGCACGAAAAAAATGAATCCACGTGTGAGGTGCTACACATGTTCACTATTATTTTTTATCCACGTGTCCATTCAGCAACAAGTTAACAGTACAATTTACATTGCTTTGGGTACAATAGTCTACTGCAGTGTTCGTACCCAAAGTCTCATTTCCAAATAAGTGGATATATATATATATATATATATATATATATATATATATATATATATATATATATATATTCGTAAATGGTATATATTTTTCACAATATTCTTATCTTCGTTTTGTGATATTTGCACCATAAGTTTTGCATCTGATAAAATACTAATGTTTGATCAGTTAATTAGTAAAGATCAATTTAAATTCTTTCAAATCATTATTGCTTCAACTTAAGTACAATGTATTTGTATTTGACTTTGTCGATGAATTTTAAGATATATTTTATTATTGTTTTTGATAAATAGAAATACTTAAAAAAATGATTTCTAACTTCACAATAATAAAAACAATCAAGAAAACAATTTTAATTCTATATATAATAACAATTTTCGTAATGTTATATTCTAAATACTAAAAGTATTTGTTAAAAAAATAATTTTGACTCCACAACAATAAAAATAATCATGAAAGAAACTTCATTTCTATTACAATAATAATTATCGCAATGTTATATTCTAAATTTCATTAATAATTTTTTTTGAAACTACACTTAATATCACGCAGTAAAGAAAAATCCTAAAGCTTACCCCCACAAAATAACAAATATACTTTTTTTTCTAATTTATTTGTTTTTTTTAAAATTTTTCTCTTCCTCTTCTAAACAAAGTCTTTTTTTGTTGTTCTTCTTTATTTTTAATGGAAAAAAGTTTAAAAATATCCGTTTATAGTTTGATCCAAAAATATCTTATGTCAATACTTTGGTCCAAAAATACTATTTTTTTTTGTTGTTCTTCTTTATTTTTTAATGGAAAAGGGGTTAAAAATATCCGTTTATAGTTTGATCCAAAAATATCTTATGTCAATACTTTGGTCCAAAAATACCCTTATTATTATTTTTGGTAAAAGATACTCATTTTTTAAAATAATTTTTTAATTTTTGTTAAATACATTTTATCTCTAATAATACTTTTTTAAAAATTAGCAAATGTTTATCTAATTTCAATTCAGAAAAAAATAAAAAATAAAAAATATTTCTTATTTTATTATAATTATGTTTTATCATTATATAAATATAAATTAATGATGGATATACAATGATCTTATTATATGACATATATTATTTGTCGAAAGGGTTCATGAAGTTATTCTATTTTAATTGATAAGATTAGATTAAGAAAAAAAAATTCCTACATTTTTATTGTTTAAAGTAATTTTAAAAGAAAGAAAACAAGAACATGGTTTTTTATAATAATTTATTTAAGATGAAAATGTGTTTTAAAAGAAAAAAATAATATAGTTATTCGGAAAAGGCATTTTTGACCCAATTAGTAACTATAGGTGCATTTTTAGACCAAAGTATTGACTGCAAGAACATTTTTGAACCAAAATATTGACGACAAGGGCAATTTTAAGTCAAACTATAAACTAAAGGCGTTTTTGTTTCTTTCTCATAGTTTAAGAAAATTTTACCCTTAAATGATGTTAAATTACTAAAATGACATGGTCGTCCTTCTCATGGCTCTTCTACATAATAAAAAAATACTAGATAATAAAAGGTCCGTTTACAGGCCCAATATTTTAATCTTATAATAGAAATTTGATTAGTTTTTTAAAAAGAAAAATCATTATGATATTTCAAATAAACATGATAGGAAATACAATAAAACATAATAGGTTTTTAACAAACAAAACAATGACCTACTTGATGAAAATTATAATGAATTATCTCATTCTATACAAAGTGAAAAATGATGAAAAAAAGGTATGACTTTGTGTCTTAATATTTATTAAAATTAGGAGAACAATTTTGTATAGTAAAGAAAGATTTTTTTCTAAAGTAACTAATATACATGATGAATAAATGTTTTATGTCAATAAAGAGGACTTAAAAATATCAGCAATTGTTGATACAATATATATTGTAGTAATTTAACATGAGGTAATTAACATAATAATTCATATAACTTGCTTAAAATGAATTTAACTATGATAAAATAATAGTAATAAATAAATATATATTTTTCAATAAATTATATAATGACATATATGTTATGTGAAATTTTGAGATTATATATAAAAAGAGAAATCAAGTAAATTTTAGATACTTCAAAAATTATCTTTATAATCCAAAATAAAATAAAACGTCATGACTTTGAAAAGTCTGAAGATAACCAAAGGAAAGAACATAACATGCTTCTAAAATTGTTTGAAATTTCGTTCTTGAAGAGCTTGCTCGGTGGTTGCATTCCTTTTGAATTAAGCATTTTGATAAAATCAATTGTGATTGATATTGAATTTAACATGTTAATTGATTCATAAGGGTGTTTGGAAAGTGTGGAGCAGATGAATTTAGCTGAAAATTGGCTATACGGACAAGTCTCAGAAATGACGTGTCCACTAAGAAATAGTGAATTTTTACTTTTGTCTTATAATTATTTTACAAAAGTAGGGTCAATATATAGAGAATTGATAAAAAAAATGTAGTTCTTAATGTTGAAAAAAAAAACTACATTATTAGTTCTCTTAATAAGAGATCCTATGCCGAAGTGTATACTATTTAGGATGGAAAAAAAAGATCGAGAAATTTATTGGTATAAGACATGAGAGAAGAGAGAATTGAGGAGTGAATGAAATGAAGATTGAGTTAATGTCTATTTATTTGTGTCATAGATTTAGTTCTAGAAAAATCTTATGTTTATAGTTTTCAGAAAAGTTATGTGTCTTGTGGAGGAAATTAACCACTTAAAAAAAATACTTTAATGAAGTTTATAATACAATTTATAGATTTTTAAAATGAAATATATATATATATATATATATATATATATATATATATATATATAAAATAAACATATTACCCTAGATTGTCCTCAAATTTTTAAATCAAACTTACATCAATTGACATATTTAGATTAATATGTTTGAAATTAAGTAAAAGTATAAATTTGATTATATATTATAATGAAGAACATCGCTTTAATAATGTAGTAAACATTTTTAGTTTACTCTAAATACAAATATCTATATCATCCTATTCATTTTATTTGTAAAGTTAGTTTTTAACATTTTTTAAAATATATTTTTGTAAAAATATTTAAATTAATTTTATTTATTTTTTAATTTCAATCTAATATATATTATTATTTTTATCATACTTGTTTCTTTTAAGATATAATAAATAGAGTCAAAATAAAGGTGAAAATAATTAACTATATTTTTTCAAATATAATAAATAGAGTCAAAATAAAGGTGAAAATAATTAACTATATTTTTACGTAATAATTTTTATGTTAAAGTAGACATTTTCAGTAAGCATAATGAATATAAAAATATTAGGAATTAATTAAAGTAATAGTCAAATAGAGTACTAAATCGATATCACAATAACTCCTAAAAAGAAAGGTGAAGTGATAACAAAATGAGTTGGTAGAAGTAATATCAACCAAAGATATTTCTAGAACTGTTTAGTTTGTTGCTATTATTCTTCGTAGATTTTTGTTAGTATGAAACTACATTATTACCCTTGATCATCATTCACTTCATATACAAAGAGATGTTTCTAGAATTATTTGTCTCTCTTGCCATCTATCTTAATTGAAATAGATTTTTATTAGTATAAAATTATATTATAATAAAATTTAAATGAAATGTGTCAATTAAGTTTGAGTTTTGTTTTTGGTGACACTTTGCTCAAGAAAGGATCAAATTTTCTTTGAAATGTAATTAAGTAAATTTGGGACCAAATTAATATTTTCAAAATTTTCTAATTTTTCATAAAATACAAAAAAAACTTTATTTTTCAACTTTTATGATTCTATTCAAACCATCTTAAAAAATAAAAGAAAGTAGAATTTTCTTTTAATCTTCTCCTAACATTCTCTCTTCTCTTCTTCTTCTTTAGAAAATCCAAAAATTCGACTATCACAAAAAATATTCTCCTCCATTATCTTATCTTCCTTCTCGTCTCCGACAGTGACTCTCTCCTCTTTCTGAATTGAAGATTGTGTTCGATTTAAAATGGGTAAGTTATTTTTTTAAAGATTTTATAATTTTCGAACCATACTAATTTTTTTCCTGGGTTAATGAAGAATACATTGTTCTATAGGTTTGAAGAATCAAATATAGTGTAATGGTAACTATTATTTATTGTTTTTGAAAGAAAATCAACAAACCCAAAAAAGCTCTACTTTTAAGGAAATGTATATATATTGTTCGCAGTCAGCGAAAAATCATTTTTTGTTACTTTTTTTATTTTTTTGTGATCATTTTGTGCATATGATTTTAGAAATATGACTTTCCCCTTCCTCACCCTCTCTTACTACTTCCTCAGTCGGTGGAGGAGTCACCGCCCTTGTACTAGATGGGACAGGTGCTTGTCCTCTTCCTCTAGAGGACGTCCTCCCGCGACCTCTTCCACGGCCTCTTGCCACTACTCCTCTTCGAGCTACAGCCCCAGTGGCTGGCTCAGATGCATCTTGCCTTGCCGGTGTTGGTGTTGGCGCAGTCGTTGCTCTAGTTCTAACCATCTGCGAAATAGAGTGAAGATGGTCAGATACCAATTTGTATCTCCTAGATACCAATTGGATCAAAGTAATAGCACGGAAGAAAGAAAGAAAGAATGGAATTTTCCTAATGTCTTATAGCCTCTCAAAGAAAAGTAGAGGCGTCCCCCTACCGTTCCTTAAGACTCTACTGGACCCGTTCTTGTGTGATGAGACCAACGAACCTAATGCTCTGATACCAAGTTTTGTCACGACCCAAATCGAGCCGCGAGTGGCACCCCC